AAACAACAGTGACCTAATTACAGACCCTAAAAAGAGAATTTATAAGGGAAAAAAAGGGAGAGCCGTCAACTTTTTGAAGGCCATAGATAGGCCTAAATAAAATGTTTTTAATTGTGTACCAGTTTAACGTTGAATATTATTTATGATTTTAACATTATACATAAGTGCCAAAATACTATAATTATTACAGATTTTTTTTTATCAATTTAAAATTGTCACCGTTAACCTTAACTAGTTAATCTATACCATTCACCTCAAGGTAGTTAAATGTAAGATGATTATCTTAAATCTATATGCCTGATGCATCGTATAACTTTTACAAGAGCTTATTGGGGTAATGTGTGTATATATATATATATATAACCGTTATACGGAAACACGTAATTATCTATATTTTATAACATATGCCTTATACGCTTGTTACAGAATAAAAATGTTATTCACATCTCAGCAGAAGGATAAGTAATTAAGAAATAATATTTGTTTTTAACAAAGCTGTTGATCCAGCCGAACCATACTTTCAAAATATGCCAGTAGAGGTCAGGATAGACCCTTCGGACGCTCTATTTGTTGACGTGATCCATTCTGATGCGAAGACGATTTTCTTGATGGGTAACTGTTCTTTTAAAACATTTCAATGTATAATCGCTTGTGGTGAATTGTTATTCAGCTTACTGAGTGTACATAATAATAAATAATATTATTAGTAAAATATGAGCACACACACTAAAACTTAAAAGAAAATATCGGAATTAGAATTATTGACTGCGGTCACTCATCCATGAATATTTAAATATTTTTTGTACACATTTGGGGAAGCACATACAACCCGAAAATTTTTTACAAACGTAATGTTATTCTTTTAATAATTTCGATTTTACATAAAAAAAGTGATTACATTTTATAGCAAACAAAATTAATTAGAGATACGCTGATTTGTTGAGATAACAATCAGTTGAATAATGAAAACTAAGCGCGCATTGTTGAGTGTGATTTGTAATTCTATGGTTGACCTCATAAAGATTTATTTTACAGAAATTAATATTTTTTCTCGACATACATATAATTTGTTGCTCCATATATTTATATATTTCAATAACGTCGATGATTATGTAATGTTATAGGCTTATTAGCTGATTTTCTTTTACTGATTAAACAGAATGATAAGTAATTAAGAAATATTTGATATTGTTACGTCTCTGTTCGTTAGTTAATTTTCCGTAAATTCGTTCCGACGAAACTTTAGCGACACAAGTCCTTTCTTAAATAAAACTGGTTTATTCTTTCCGAATACAACTTTACGATACACTTAATTTCAACAGTCGCTCCATAACAAACGCTATAACTCACGTCTCACGTGGCCAACAATATTTTATCCGCATACATTTAATTACACATTACCTCCGTCGCTTCGTGGCCGGTCTTATATATACCAGACTACCCCCAATCTAGTAGTCTCCCGACAATTCACGAAGGAACAGGATATTTCTAGAAGGAGGTGGCGTGATACTAGTCACGTGACCTCGCTGACGCAACAATATCAATAAAGCTGTTGGTCCAACTGAATCATAGTTGCAAAATATGTCAGTAGAGGTCAGGGTAGACCTTCAAGTGATCCATTCTGATCCAAAGACTAAAATTCACAACTTTTTTTTTGTCAAAATGGTATTATTGTTGTTATTTGGCTAATGTTAGTCCAAGTGTTCGAGTTTCTTAAAGATAAGAGCCCGAGTACGTATTTGAAAGAGAAAAATTATCTTTATTAATAAAAAGAAATTTAAACTTTAAAAATTTGTCAAGAGTTTTATTTTTGTTTTTCACTTAGGCCTTGGAATGAGCCAAGAAGTTGGACATGTGGATTTTTTCCCTAATGATGGAACCAATCAACCGGGTTGCAAGACTGACCAAGTACTTTCCTTTATTATCGACGGTCTGAATGAAGGTAAAAAAGCTTTAGTACAGTTTAACAGGACTTATAACCATTTCTTTTAAAGATTGAGAACAAATGTAATTTCCATGTTCATAAACCCACGTTGAAGTTTTCGTTGTTGTTGTAGGAATATGAGAATTTTTACTTTTTTTTTACATTGTTACTTAAGACAGCAAAAAAGTAGGTGCAATTCTCATTACAAAGGAGTAGTATTTTGAGAGACAAATTGAGTCTTTTTTTTTGTGAAATGATGTTTATAAAACATGATAAAAAATTGGTAATAATGCATCACGGATGTGTTCATATCTAGAATCACTCTGCTAGCCGGCGTTGCAAGTATAATGTTTTATTTACTGAAGAAAGTCATCATAAGTTATAAATTCCTACCGAAAGAGGAAACACAGTGTACTAAAAGTACAATTTTAAACTTAATATCCATACTTTACTAATTAAGGGCAAAACATTTTGTAACAAAAGTTACTCTTGCAATGATTTACCATATCATCTTCCGTTTCTAAGGCAATAATCTTGTGTAACAACCGAAAATAAAACAATAAGGTAATAATTATCTTTTTAACGTTTTATATGTAATCCTTTCAACTAAACCAAGTAACCAGAAACATATAGATACAATGAACACTTTTATAACCGTTAATAATTTCGTAGTTCTGAGTAACAAATGAAGGTGCATAGGCTTAAAAACAACAATTATTTGATCTAATATCTTCATTTATGTATTTAAGCTTATAATACGCAATTTGCTCGACCTATAAATAGTACATATAATCTATCAAAATTATATGAATTTTTAAGCTTAGAAAAGAAACTTAAACCAGAACAATATTCTTAGCATACTGTGTTCGGTATTATCACTGAGATGAGAACGGAAAATTGTTTTTTTTTTACGTTAAGCACAAAGCTTGTTTATTTGAAATTATACATAAAGCTACATAAAAATAAAGTTTATATAAAGTTTTCTCTTAGGAAACGTTTGGTAACTATTTGGACATTATAAAAATTTCGCATATGAAAGTTAAAAATTTTCTTATGCACAAAAGTATTTTAATGTTAAGATGAAAATTACTTTGCCTGACAGATAGGCAAGATGTGAAAACATTACCCGCCAGATTTGTACATAAGAGCAATGTTATTATCTTCTCGTATTACTCGCGTTTTTCTGAGAAAATAACAAAAAGGAAAACCACTACTCAGGAGAATTACTTCTACATTTCATAATAGTTTCGGCTATCGTCGCTAGATGGCAGCACATAATGTTTTTATGTTAACTACGACAGTTTGGGCTTTTCACTTCACAACAATGATATCTGACAAACCAATTTCGTTAAAAATAAGTAAATAAATAAAGAATTAATTAGATT